TGCGCATCGGCAGCATACAATGTATTTTATTGGCCACCCAAGTAAATTCAAATCAAAATTTATTTAGCTACTGGGCCCCAAAGGACCAGGAAAGCATCTTTTGCCACCTATATATGAATGAGAGAAGCCTATGTGGAGTTCATCTGTATTGCCACAAGCCTTCGTTTTTGCGATACATCGTCAATCAGATAAAAGATTGCTAATTTACTCTTCTCTAGTCGAAGTTTATAAATGCACATAAGGTCACAGCCCTAATTTAGTTTACTATAAGCGTTTCACTAAAGATTATATTTAACTAAAAAAATCTATAAATGTTATCTATATATTTCGGGGACTTTACATTTTACTCCACACAATTAAGTGTGCAAAATAAGATATAGAACAAACAAAAAAATATTTATTCTTAACAAACAAGTCACGTACTTATCAATAGGTAGGAATCCCCTGTTTAATTTTCCTGTCTTAATGAATTTTGACCATTGCAGCTCCGATAATCTATATATCTATAATGTGAAGTTGGTTTGTGTACGCTTTAAAAGCAAAAAGTTATGCACCGATTGAACTCAATTTTTTACACGATGTACAACTCGCTTCAAATATGATTTTTATCTATTTTTTGCAACCACAATGAGCCACATGGAAGAGTGGCAGAGTACAGCTTGTGTCATATAAAAACATTTGTCATGACACATCGTTACCCGTTACGTACACGGAATATCAAATGAATTTAGTTTGGAACAACTAACAACACGCTTAAATAGACGACAATGGAAATCCTCTTGGCTCTTTCAACAAACTCTCCAATGAATCGATATAATAAAATAAGTCCGGGGTTTCGCTATCCAACTCCTTATATCAGATCGAGCTTAATTATCATTATCACGACTCAACATTCATAAATATTCTGATGGCATATAAGTAGCCGTTTTCAAGTAAGTTTCAAAATTGCTTCTTCCAGCTTCTCCCTCTGGACTCTCAGTCCCTCGATCCCTTGGCGTAACGTAGAGATATAGCTTCACGCTGCATTATCTATCGTATATATAATATTTCAGGAATTGTTCGGAATAATACCAGCCACAACTTTTCGCTATCCACAACATCACAACTTCACTTGGATAATTGGCACTCCACCACTGTGTGTTTTTCAAGATACTTTTTGCCTCGCATCAATCTTTAGAACAAGTTATCATCTCCACTATTTCTGGACCGATACGACCTTCAAACCTTCATGAAAAGAGATGAAAAGAGTACTTCTTCCTCAAAGGACGGCAACGCGCTAATGGTTCTCGAGTTGCAAGTGTTCATGGCGGTGGCAGTAACTTTCCATCAGATGATTCGTCTGCTAATTTGCTCCCTTTTTAACCGACTTCAAAAAGTATCCTCTTAACCTCGTGTCCTTGGATAAGTGACCTTTAGAGGTCAACATTTTCGTGCTGATACTGACTAGTCTTATCCAATTGTCAATTCCGGGCTCAAAAATATGCAATCCCATTTGGAAATTACAATGTCAATGTCCATTTCAAGGTCACCAATGGATAACCAGGGAAAATTCCTGTAACTTTGTGTTAAACGTATTTAAGGAAAATGCACCCCTAGCTAATTATTCTGCTGTTCCGGTACTTTTCTAACACCCTGTATCAAGCCAGCAGTGGTTTAGAACCAGTTGAGTGCGTCGGGCGCTAGGAACAATACGGCGAACGAACCACTGATTAGCGTTGATAAAATCAAGAAACCATTCTTGATTTATCAACGCACTACCGTCGTATTACCGTTATATTGAATACAATAACAAAACAAACAATTCTTGGAAAGGAAAAACAATTCTTACAACTTCCCACTAATTTAACCACGTAGACTAACACTGAGCATGCTTTAAGTACAAACCGCCTAGATTTAGACTTTTATGTAATTATTATGATGAATGATAATAAAAAAATACAGCCTGTATAGTACGTACCTGCGTAGATAATTAAATTATGGAAAAATCCCCAGTATCATTTACTTTTATCAGGTGATCCGCTTGACCTGTAATGGTAAATCATTTCTGATTATACCCGAATTCCCGGAGACCCGTAAGATGAACTACGAAATTATCTAAACTGAACTATTAGCACTTGATGCCAATGAAATTCTATAGCTATAACTGGATATAAATATTCAATTTGCATGCACATTAAGATAACCTTTTAAAAACACTAGCCTAGACTGACAGACTGATTTATAAACGCAGAGAGTACGTAACGCCACTGGGGCTAGAAGCTTGAAAATTTGAAAGGATTTTTGCAAATTCATCCCTAACGGAGTAAAACAAGCGATATAATACGGTTCGCCATTATCAAATTCATCATCATCATCAACAGCCTTTAATAGTCCACTGCACGACATAGGCCTCTCCTTAGAAAGGAGGTTTTGGCCTACTACACCACGCTGGCCAGACGGGTTGGTATAGGGTTTGTGTCAAGTTTTCCTTCTCTCTGCAGTGCTGTTGTTCTGCCTAGTTTTCTCCCTTAGTCGGCTCTTACGACACCCACGGGATAAATAGGGGTGGTGACATTCCATATTCTTAATCCGTCACCACACGGAAGCTAGCACCAATAGCTAGGTATTAAAATAATATAGTTGCTTCGTGACATCATGTGCAAGAGCCATGGTTCGGCGTGTGTGGTGTCGAGCGGGCTCGTCTGGAGTGACACGGCCTCACAGAAAACCAGTGCTAAGCAATTCTTCCGTTTGCTGTGGTGTTATTTTCACAGTACTTTTTTTCATCATTTTAAAAAAATATTTCGACATATCATTTGACGGGTCTGTTGGTCTAATTGTAAGTAACCCTGACTGCTAAGCTAAGTCGTGGCTTCGATTCCCACCTAGAACAAATATTGTGTTATAAGCACGGTCATTTATTCTGTGTCTGGGTGTTAATTTATCTACAATGTGTATGTATTTAAATTTTATTTTTAAATAAGTATGTTTATCAGCAGTCTGGTTACCATAGCACAGGCTCTGCCTAGTTTGAGATCAGACCGCCGTGTGTGAGATGTTTGAGTTTTATTATTTATTTATGATAACATAATGCACAAATCGTACACAGGCGGACTTAATGCTCAAGGCATTCTCTGTCAGTCGATCGATGATGTAGAAAATAATGCTGTAGGTGCAAAATAAAACAATAAATTTGATTTGTTATGATTATTATTACATATAAACATAGATATCCCCCCTATACACATACAATAAATAAACATACACATACATAAAAATATAAATATAAAAATACACAGTCGAGTACTGCCTAGTGCCTAGAGTAGTGCCTTTGTGCCAACTCATTTTGGATCTGATTATCTGTTGCTCGAATGCTTGCTGTTACTCGAACAGTAGCAAATCCCATAATGACACCGACACTACTACACTCTGTGAAAATATAAATAAGCACACACTGAAAGAAAAAATTCTGAGTATGTAGTAATTAATTCTAGAATTAAGAACTGTCTATGTAATTTTTTCAACATTTATTTGAACACATTTTGTTCCCAGCTTTTGTCCCAAACTAAGTTGAGGTTGACTTTAAGTTTCCTACAATACGGCTGAACTTCGTTTTTTCATCGAAACTACGAACCAAGTACCTACTAAGCGATATCTATGTTCTGTATAAAGACTGTTGACGGACTGTTTAGTGCTCCAACTACTTGTAACATTTGTAATAATTTGAAAATGTTTTGCAATTTTTTTGTATCGTATTTTAATCCTAATCCCCCATCACCTCACTGGAGCTAATGATGAAGTGGTGTGTGTCAAATTTGAACAGACTACCTATAAAAAATATTCTTTTTATTAATCAATGTGACGTTGAAATAAAAATGTATCATCGATGAAGTGGAAAAATATCTGTATGTTTTTCATCATGTAATTTATAAAATTTCCATGCTTTTTCTATAGATACTCTTTCGGCTTGGGCCGGCTTGCCCGAAGTAAGCGTCACTTTTATGTTGTTTTGGGGAGAGTTGCATGTGGCAAATAGACGGAGGTAGTTATTTACTGTAGTTACAGGTGACCCGTCTGCCCGTATGCCCGTATATGTAATCCCGGGGTACCCCCCTTCCCCTCCCCTATTACATACAAAAACCAACCCTACTACGTTTCAATATAAAGTTGTAAAACTTATACCTCATATAATTTTAAACATGCAAACAAAGTTGTCCTTTTCTATCTCAGAAGGGGTATATCGGCATAACAAAAGCTGTTCTTTGTGTCCGTTTCATGTAAGTTTGTAAAGTGACCCGCGACACATAAATATATTCCTAATGCGAGAGTTATCTTCACAAAATTTGGCATCAACTTCAGCTTACTAAGACCGGCTTTCTAGAAAGTCCTTGGTTTAAATAATCTTTTTATTAAGTTGCAATAAACTTTAGATTTAAAATATTATTGCAAGGGACACCTGCATGCTCCTGAGGCAGTCCCGATAAACCTCGGCAGTCTTTGGTCGTCCCCATTTTATAATAAACCAGAATGGTTCTTTGCGGTGCGCAGAAAAATCTCCAGGCTTCTTCTCAATTTTTTTAATATTTGATTGAAATTTCTTTTAGAAAAAAGATATGCTTTTCACTAAAACCAACCGACTCAAAATATATGAGCCATCACAAATGACATACAAAATTTAGAAAAAATCATACAACACTAATCAGATTCGTTGTAAACACATGATCATATATAAAAGAAGATGATATTGATAGCGCACTTACATTGTGCACACGCAGTTCCGTAGACGTGAAACAACGCGACCAAACGCGCTCGTGTGAAAAATAATAAAACTCTAAAACCGCACTCAAAAATAGTAATATTTGTAGTAAATAGTGTAGTAATATTTGTGTATTTTTTATAAACGTGATGTTTGAAATAAGAATTCTTTAAAGTTTAGGAACTTAAATCTAAAATAAAGCAGTTCCGATTTTATGTTCCAATAGTGTTATGACCACGTTGTGAATTTGTTTTTATTTTGTACAATGGTGAATAAAGTGTACAAAGTAAGTTCTGTTAAAGAAAAGAAAATGGGTAGCAAACACAACCAGATACTTATGTCTATTGTTGGTAAGTTCATTTATAAATGTAATACAATATATAGTTAACACTCCACACAGTTGGTTTCATTTCACAGTAGTATCAGAAAAGGTTTTTTATAATATTATTTTATGACTAGTTATATTATATAAATTAAACGTATACGTAAAATTAATTTTCTGCAACTATTTCATTCGAGTTTGTTATTTGTCCAAACTACAGCCTTGTTTTAAAAAAGTTTATTTTGTAGTTTGTGCAAGACGCTGTCCATGCCTCAGTATGTTTTTTTACCAATTCAATTTTTAATCATTTTGATATTTATGGACAATGAAAAACAAATCGAATAAAGTCAAAATACTAATTGAACTTACAACAATACTGAACTCCTGCTAAAATTACTTAGTGAGAGCGGTTTTGGGATTTTCCGTAGCATTTAAAACGCACACACACACAATATCCACAGACTTCATAAGTATACCTGAAACAAATGCATATTTGTAAGGTCTTAAGCTCTCTATGTATTCAACGATTTAGAATAATTGAAGCTAAATTTGATAAGTTATTTTATAAGTAGGGCCCATTTGTATTTATTTAAATAGCAATAATCATTGATATGTAAGTGTGTAACTTATATTAGTACACAAAATCAGTTTTATATATATTATCTAATGATGCAGAAAATTTTGACAATTCTAGTTGTGTAGTCTTTTGTTTAATATTATCTCTCAGTGAGATTTTACTTTCAAACATCGAATTATGGTTTTTGACAAAAGATAAAGACAAATTTCAATTATTTATTAATTTTTAAATTTTGTTTTAAAAACTTTTATTCTCACATATATAACATACCTACATAAATATCACAGTAAGCTACAAGTACAGCTTACAAGTTATTTTTATTGTTTTCGACAGTGAAACAGTAATTTAAATGCACATGATTCATGTAGATAACTAAAGCAAAAACACAGGACTAAGAACAAAGAACTTTGAAAGGGTAGACAATCTCTAGTGTTGTCAAATGAAACGAAAATATCGTTCACTAAAACACTATTTAAAACCTAGTACCGCGACCCTTTTATCAAAGGCGATCTGATGTATTACGAAACTCGCTTTTAGGGTTCCTGTGCCCTGTGGATGAGATGTTGATTCTTTCATTTTTCACCTCCCCGTATCCTCAGTCATTTTAAGTGTAAATATTGTACATGTGCTTGATTACGTTTAGAATTATTATTAGAAAGATAAATCCTTTTAAAAAAAAGTTAAACCGACTTCAAACAATAGTAACAACATTATCCCCATAGATATTTAAAAAAAAACATCCGAATAATAACCTTCTCCTATTTGGTCTTTTAAAAATACATAATTTTTTAAATTTTATTTTTATTTAAGACACTAGATCCATTAAATTGCGTTAAAAATGTAAGATTTCATATTTTTGCATTGATTTGAACCTGTTTATAAAAGCTAGACTTTTCCAACTCATCGAAATCGCTTACTGGATAAACAGAAGAGAACACGATACTAAATTGGTCTCTCTTTACTAATTTGTGCATATGACGCTGGAAATTCACAATCCTCATGCCAATAATTGTAATTTTTTATATACTGAGTTGCGTGATAATTTGGGTTGTGATATAAAACTATTTTATCGACTAACTTCAAAAAAGGTGGAGGTTCTCAATTCATCGGAATCTTTTTTTTTACTCAAAGTTGCCTGAACCGATTTGGAAAAAAAACTGTTTATTTAATAAAAAGAATTATATATTTAATAAGCCAATAAGCTTCTGGTAGCTATGTTTTAAAGTTATTTAAATCAGAACAGGTTTGGATAGCACGATAGGACAGCAGTTAAGTTACGCAAATTTTTTGATTTTATCTACAAAATGCATCGGTGTTATTCAATAATGAGTAAAAATTGATAAAACTAATATTTAACTACTCAATGCTAAATAACATTAATCAAATGGTGAGTTCTTCTCAAAATAATAAAATTAATACGATTTCAGACACATACTTTAAACTAAGTAAATAACACAAACATGATATAGATAAAATGAATGTTTTATCAACAGAATGAATGAGCGTGTTCATCTTACAAATTTATCTTGGATGGGGATCTTGCCAATGGGAGAGGCCTATGTCCAGCAGTGGACTGCGATAGGCTGATGATGATGATGATGGGGATCATACCTACGTCTTTATCTTCAGTAGTGAGTACCACTAACTACCTAGAACAACAACTTCAACCAAATGCAAATTTGAAATCGTGATGGTTCTTTTTTTTTATGTTAGAGGGGGCAGACGAGCAGACGGGTCACCTGATAGAAAGTAACCATCGCCGCCCATGAACGTCTGCAACTTAGGAGTCACAAACGCGTTGCCGGCCTTTTAGGAAGGAGTTCTCTCTTTTCTTGAAGGTTTGACGGTCGTATCGGTCCGGAAATACCGCAGACGATAACCCGTTCCACAGATTGGTTGTGCGGAGCAAAAAGTGTCTCGAAAAGCGCACAGTAGTGTAGCGCCAACTATCCAGGTAATGAGGATGAAAATTTTGCCGTGTGGAACGATGGCAGAAATTTGCGGCTGGCTATTCCGAAAAATTCCTCGGAGCACTCTCCATGATATATGCGGTAGAGAATGCAGAGTACGTAACGCCAAGGAATCGAGCCGGTCGCAAATCTTTTGGCTATCGACGATTCGAGTCGTTTTTCCTTGGATCCAGAGGGGGAAGCTGGTACTGAGGTGCCTCTGCATAGAGATGAGAACAGTATTCCATATGCGGCCGGACTTGCGCCTTGTAGAGCTGAAGGCGGTGGGCCAGAGTGAAATACTGCCTCGATCTGTTCAGCACACCGAGCTTCCCGAGCCGAGCCAATTTGACCTTACCCTCTAAGTGACCCCGGAACTGGACTTCGCTCGATATGTCGATGCCTAGGATTCCGATGCTGGCTTAGGCAGTTCGGGAGGTGCTCTCAAACTGAGGTGATAAGACAAATGGTATCTTTTTTGCGGTGAACGCGCAAACCTGTGTCCTTTTTGGGTTAATATGGACCAGATCTAGTCGGCCCCAATCTGAAAGTTCATGGATTTTTTTTTTTTCTTGGCGTTAAAACTCCCATATTAGTAATACATTCTGCGTCACGGGGGACTTTACAAACATACATAAAACGGACACAAAAACACCCAGACTAAGAACAACAATTAATGGACCATAGGGTCGTAGTAGGAAGCGACGAGGTGACAGCTTACACCTCTACGCCATCCGTGCAGTCCTTTTAGCTGATGTTCTAAGTTCTTGTCCTTTAATTCGTAAATTGTCTCAAATGAATTATTTATTCATAATACGTCATGAAGTCAGTCTAACCATATATAAACTAGTATTACGTGTGATATAATAATTTCATAATAATATAGATAAAATTAAACGCTACGCAAACTTTGTTGAGATTAAAATCAAATTAAATATACTCTGCTAGACATCTACGGTGAATTATTTTTAATGTGCTGATAATAATATTACATTCTCCTTATCTTTGCCATTCTAAAGTGCACTTCGTACATATGCAAAATTGCATGGAAAAAAAATTCCTTCATCGTTATTTTCTCTATGCTATTTATTTCTCTGATGGGTAAAGTTTGGAGGTTAAAGTGGTAGATCTTTCATTTGAAGAAACTGTAGGGGTAATTAGTATGCGTTGCGGGGGCGAGATACGTTGCGGAGCGCGCCCGTACAAAGGGAAAATGGGGGTTCCCACACAGGAGGGCGTCATCTACACGCCGTGGATGGCCCGAGGTACGTCGGGGGGTACCAGGGATTTCCTTTCTAGGGTACACCTGGTTCGTGCAGTTTTTGGTCGATTCGAGTCCGACATAATCACCCTACCGGTGGGTGATAGAATAGACAAGAACATCATCTACATAAAAGTAACTTTAGATAAGGCCAGAAGGGGTATATTATTACTAATATAATTATCGACATATTTTTTACTTTACCAGGACCGACTAGATTTATATTACATTAATACTTTTTATACAGTTATATTTTGTTAGTTGGGTAAATTAAGAGAGAGAAACATTGGGGAATTATTTTTTGATTCTCAACGAAAACATATATGTTTTCGTTGAGAATCAACGCGTTCCTTATGTGCATCATCACACTTTTGTACAGCTATAATTATAGTGACTACAGCTACGATGTTGTCTAAACCATCTATTAATTAATTTTCTCATAATATTGTAACTCGTCAATTTGATTTATCCGTAACATGAAAATCGAACCATACCTACGTGAAATTCAGAAAGACAATTCAGAATGTAATGAATGAGACCACTTATTAATTAGCGTACATAGTATAACATATAAATGATATGTAATAATTACATCTATTCAATCTTGTCTTAATATAACATAATGAGTATTTAATCAGATAAAGAGTAGACACGTTATTGTGTATGTCAATAATGTTTTACTGTGATGAAGCAGAGCAAACTACTGCCAAGATATTCTCCCACACGTGGCGGCATCCAACATTCGTAACGATGTTGCTATGTTATACATTTGTTAGCCAACTGATTTGGTATTTAGTTATGTCTATGTTCATGTTAAGCGTATATGTTATGATTATTTTTTGTACCAGCATGGTGACAAACAAGAACAAATACATAGAGTTTAAAGTTGATCTTTTAAACAACAGGATCTAAAGTAAAGCAATTTCTTTAGTCATTCTTCCGGTGGGGGGTTAGACTTCTGGCAACCTCGCTGATTCAGTGTAAAACAGCAAAAGACACCAGGTTTCTGTGAGGATGACACGGGATATATTCATAATGCTGGAGCTCATTCTTGCTTTTTTCCCAATTTTGTTTAAAGTTAGCGCAATGGATAACATTACAAAAGAGCTCTGCTAATACTTATTTCTTTTACGATTAAATGCCTGCGTAAAACTTGACCTGGACAATCTTTGAAAATAAGAAAACGATAGTTTTCAGGCGGGAGAAAGTAAGAAAGTAAATAAGAGTAAGGTAAACGAATAGGACAAGTGAGCTAGAGAAAGAAATACCGCAAGTGTCGGAAGGGAAAGCAGGCCTGTAACCGAAATAGCTCGAACTGGCCAGGGTCGCTTATCCATGGCTATACGCATACATACCGTCCGAACGACTTGAAATATGTGTCATTTTACAAGTGACCGGAGCCCCCTCCCGCTATTGGGGTGGGAGGTCTATCTTGGGTTGTAGGTGTCCATGGGCGGTGGTAGTCACTTCACGTCAAGTGACCGGTCTGCTTGATTGCCGCCTATACCACAAAAAATAAATAGTACTACTTTCCTACAGCAAAGAAGTTCATGCCCTAAACTAGGTCCCTCCAATCCATCTATTAGTTTCAGTTTAGTTCGCGATCAGGAGGAAAATATTGATCATCATAGCGTACCTAAAAAGGAGCTGAGTTGACTGACGCGAACTGACAGACTTGCAAAAGATCTGAATTGTATTGTTTTTGTCAACATAAGCCATAAAATATAATAAATCTATAAATAGATGAACAATGACAGCGAATCGCTACTAAAAATAATCGCTTTAAACACATGTACACTATGTTCGACATTCTACATTCCACTAAGCAGAGCCAAAACTTGTCATATGTCACTATCATATAACAATGATGGTGATGTCTCCCTAGAAGTATCTGTCAACGTCTACACCCTGGCACTTTTCAATGTATATCTTAAAATAGTGTGTATGGATATATAATGTCAACGAAGGAATAGGCAAACCCATGTTTCGGCACAAATGGGGAGGGGCAGGTTTTTATCGAAATGATATCATGGGATCGCATAAAACTGGTGTAGACCAATTCTTTCGTAGCTTTTCAGTAACTAAGTGTGGTTAGATGCCCTCGTCCCCACCTAAACCTTGAGGAGGACTCAAAGAGCGACAACGCACTTGTGCCTCTCGAATGATACCTTGTGTATCTTTTACAATAACGCAGATATTGTAGAGCACGCAGACTACGCGTTGACGAATTGGGAGCCATTATAGTTAGGAATCTAAAGCAGTCATACTTGAAGCTTAGTTGCATTTGTCTATTTGTTTTAGTACACCACTTAAGCGAAAGATTGATTTAAAAAGGTTTTTTTTATTAATTACTTACTAGCTTTTGCCCCGCTTTTAGCTCCTCCCGCGTTTATGTTGTTTATCTATCACGGTAAAAAGTAGCCTATGTACTATGATAACGTAGCTTTCCATTGGTGAAAGAGTTTTTAAAATTGGCTTAGACGTGAAAGCGTAACAAAAAAACACACGAACACACAAATAAGAACTCACACTCACATTTATAATATACTCTTAAGTATGGATAGGTACCTGAATAGGACCAAAACTTTGGTTAGTTTATTAGCCTGATATATAGGAATTAATACGATGACAGGGTGACTGTGGCTATGACCGGTGTAACCTGCCGTCAGTGTATGTTACATTATACCTGTTAATTGATACCGAAAAGTCCCATATATATAAGCATAAATAAGAAAGATTTTTGGTTCAGGCGAGATTTAATATTAAAAGTAAATAAACTCAAGTTTTTTATCTCAAATGTTCTATTATATGTATTTAACTTTGTATTTTCAGTGTGTCTGCCAATCTTCGCATACGGGACAGCCATGGGTTGGATCTCTCCAAACAAAGCAATACTCATGAGCGAAGATTCTCCATCAGATTCGCCCTTGTCCGAGGAAGTTGTTTCGTGGATGGCGTCCATTATGTTTATATTCGCGCCAGTTGCTGTTTTCGTATTTGGGATGGCCGCTGACAAGTTTGGGAGAAAAAATGCATTGTTATTCGCATCTGTACCTATTTCGGTAAGAAATATTTTTTTTGTAAAATTCAATGATTAATTTATTTATTTAACTTAATGCACAAGTTATACACAGGCGGACTTAATGCCCAGGGCGTTCTCTGCCAATTGACATTCGGGTGATGTAGAAAACTGAAGCGGCAGGTGCAGGAGAAAACAGAGAATTTGACTTTATTTATATTCAATTTATTAATTTAAGAAAAATCTAACTTACATTACATATACATTATATACTATAAATAAAATACTATATTCATTACTACATATATACATAGAGCTCCCAAGTATACACATACAATACATAAACATACACATATATAAATACAAAAATATCAGAATACACAGGCGGGTACTAGCGTTGTAACCTTTCTGCCTCATTGAACTCATTTTGAAGAAGATTAGGTACTTTCTTCTTGAACGTAAAGCGGTTTGTAGAGATCCTGATTTCAACTGGAAATAATTCCTGAGGAGAACTGACTGTACATAGAAGTAAGAATTCATGAAGTTGGAAGTGTGAGGGGGCAAAGAAGAAGCATATTATTTGTTGACCGAAGATTAGAGCCAGGTAATCGGTTAACGATGGGGAATTGAGAAATGAGAAAATATATGTTAGTGCACGCAGACCACGGCGTTGACGAACTGGGAGCCATTTCAGTTAGGAGCGTAAAATAGACACATGGTCATACTTGTGAACATTAAAAACAAATCGATTGCAGTTATTAAGAAGTCGGTCTAGCTTATCGAGAAGGTCTGCATTCAGGTCAAGATAACACACATCACCATAATCGATTAAGGGAGTTACAAGGGACTGCATAAGTATAGCCTTAGATTTAGTGGGCACAAAATTCTTGAGACGATATAAGGCGCGAAGACATTTAGTGACTTTCTGACTGACGTGGGTAACTTGTGCTCTCCAGTCAAGTGCCGAGTCGATATGTAACCCTAGGTTCTTAACCACTTGACTCAGAGGTATAATTACATCGTTAAAAACAACTGGTGTGATGGCCGTCATGTCCAACCTACTTAACATCTGTTTGCTTCCTATGACGATAACTTGACATTTAATTACTTATATTAGAGAGCCTGAACTAAAATACCCAATAAATTCGAGTTAGTACACAGTTAGTCAGTTATCCGTGTAGTGACGGATTAAGAATACGGAATGTCACTACCCCAATTCATCCCGTGGGTGTCGTAAGAGCCGACTAAGGGCGCAAAACAACGCAGGACACCAGCACTACAAAAAGAAGGAAAACTTGATACAAACCCTATACCAACCCGTCTGGCCAGCGTGGTATAGTAGGCCAAAACCTCCTTTCTAAGGAGAGGCCTATGTCCAACAGTGGACTATTAAAGGCTGTTGATGTGATGATGATAGTACACAGTTCTAAACTACTCAAACTATTGCTTATATTTGCATTCCTTCTTCTTCTCTACTTTCCCTTTTTAAAATACACCCCAATCGCTAATTCCCAAATATCGGATAGCCTGTTACGTGAGTTTCACTAAATTACAGATAATTACTAATTCCTATTTTTCATCCTTAGCTCGGCTGGGCCGTTAAACTAATTTGCGCTCATCCGATCGCTTTGATCGGTGCACGAGCGCTGATTGGCTTTGGTTCTGGAGGTGGCTTCGTAGTGTGTCCTCTCTACGTGAAGGAAATCAGCGAAGACAGCATCAGAGGGATGACAGGGACCTTTGTTATATTCTCGCAGGTCAGTAATTTTTCAGTCTTTGTTTGTAAATGTCCTTGTGTGCTCTCGGTTAGTATAATTCAACTGAATGCTATCTGACGTCCAACTCTAATACCGCGAGCTCTCATTGGTCAAATCATAGCGCACGCTTCTCCGGCTTCCTGTTATATATCACCGTTCTTTTTCACTAAACCACTTCTACAGAGAACAGGCGAGATGTTCTACACCAAAAAAAAAAACAGTCACACTCCGGGACTGCCGACAGAAGTGAGGACTTTAAAATTTAAAAAATAATAATTGTAACAGGCAAAATCTTTTGTTTTTTTTCGATTAAAAAAGTTGTGATATGAATATATATCTATGAGTGTGTTGTACGATATACAATATACATGTTTATATTATGTATAGTTATATTTTCAATATAAATTTCAATCCAAACTCAACTCAATATATGTAGATACTTATATACAGCGGTGTCGGTAACGGTGACAGTTTCGCGGGTTTTTTCCCATCTCAAAAATACATTATTTTGTTTGTTCTTCAAAAATACCCAACGCGCCTAAAGAAGTTTTCACTTCATAAATTTCGACCTTCACAAGTATCCCATTGTTGTCCTAGGTATACTAAGATATCATAGTTTTTCTCGACCACATCGAATTTGTTAGCACAATGCTTAGTAAACATAACATAAGAAATCAGGTATATCCCAATGTTTATTTGTTTCCAATTTTCCTCTTACATGCGGCATAATTGTTTCTCAGAATCATGTATTGCCTCTTTTCTTTCTTACAATTCATATTTATTAGAATGTGTACTCATTTTATTCTTAGTTTGAAATTGTATTGGCACCTAAGTATAATAATTATGGTGAATTGTAAAAAAAGGATATTCTTACTTTTAAGTATTATTGTAATTTTAATCATCTATTTTGTTTACAGACAGCCGGGAACCTCTTAGTTTTCATATTAGGAGACCTCCTGCCATTCAACACAGTACTCTGGATTCTTCTCGCGATTCCTCTTATACACTTCTGCATATTGCTCCGACTGCCTGAGACGCCTTCATATTTGATCAAGTGTGGTAGGAATGAGGTATGTCATTTTTGCTCTAATCAATTAAAATGAGATCCCGTTGGAGGGTTCTTGAGGTAACTTGAAATGTAAACATTTATTATGGAGGGTTCTTGAGGTTTATATTTCAAATTTCACTTCAAAGGAAAGCAAAATCAATAAATTCCGACTACTCTAGACTACTCTCTTTACTAACCTAAACCAAAGTAGGGCCGGGTCTTAACCCAACCATCGGGATGCTTTTTAGTAGAAACATCTCATACTTCTCCCTCCTCCATCGTTACGAAGCGTCCCCTGGGAGCCGGAATTCGATTTTCCACTATATGACAAAAAAAAGCCATGTGTATTTTTTTTTTAATATAAGTTAAATTTTATAAGAAGACCTTGGATTCACAGCATAAGCTAAGGAAAAATTCAAAAGTCTCGAATTGGTTGTCATATCTTATAAAAATATTTTCCTTACTATTACAAACTGAATGACGTAATTTCATTGTATTCATATAAGAGTATTTTTACATCAGTAAATTTAAGTTTTAACTTGAGAAAAAACGAAACAGAATGTTCGTAGAACAACAACATATATTTAAGATTCACACTTGTCTGTATTTCTAAGTCAATTTTTAACACTCAAATGATTATTTCAGGACACAGCCAAAGTTTTAGGTTGGCTCCGTTCTTTACCTGCTAATGATAAGTCCATTTCTGAAGAAGTGGACAGACTTATCGTTGAACAAACAACCAGCGATCCTAAGTTTTCTCCTACCCTATTATGTAAGTAATATATAATAATATATCTCACACATCTCACACACGGCCGTCTGATCCCAAACTAGGCAGAGCCTGTACTATGGTAACCAGACCGCTGATAAACATACTTATATATTTTTTAAATACATACATATTATAGATAAATTACACCCAGACACAGAACAAATGACCGTGCTCATCACACAATATTTGTCCTGGATGGGAATCGAACCCACGACCTCCGGCTTAGCAGTCAGGGTCACTAACCACTAAACCAACAGGCCCGTCATGATGATCAAGTGTGATTGATTTATTAAGTACCTATATCATTTAACATTCCATGTATGAAAAATCTTAATCTTCTTAGGTTGTTGACAGAGATGTACAAAATGAACGTGTGAATTTTTTTTTGGGGTCGAAACACTAGGGTCATAGCGACGAGTGCTTGTTCTGTTTACAAAGAATTAGCTAAGCAATTGATCTACATTTCTCATGACCAGATGGCTGGAAGACTCAACGGAAAGTAGACGACGAAGCAGAGGAATTTTTTGAGACTTGTGTGTAAATAGTTTAATTTAAATACTTGTCATATGTTAATACATTTGTTCTTAAAGGCAAGGTTCTTAATGATTTTGTAAAAACTGATTGTAAGGTGTTTACGTGATCATACTAGCTTACGGCTACAATAATTATAAGACGAGGTATTTTAAATAATACAAGCTACTAACTTTTGTTTACCCAATAGAATTATTTAATTGTATTTGTAAAACGTCGTTTTAATTTTTTCTCGATTAATTCAAATTAAAAGTACTTTAGTAGAAATGATATAACGTGCTTATCTTTTACTGTTTTTTTAAAATGATTCAACTAGATTTAGTGTTTACACAGAACGAACCATATTCATCATATGTATTTGTTTCTATAAAAGACTATGACAAATGTGTTGAAGTCCAGATCCAGTAATAACAACAGTTTTAAAATGTATGTGACTAATTCGTTATTAACTTCCATCATCATCATCAACAGCCTTTAATTGTCCACTGCTGGACATAGACCTCTCCTTAGACAGGAGGCTTTGGCCTACTATACCACGTAGGCCAGACGGGTTGGTATAGGGCTTGTGTCAAGATTCCCTTCCCTCTGCAGTGCTGTTGTTCTGCGTAGTTTTCTCCCTTAGTCAGCTTTTACGACACTCACGGGATGAACAGTGACACTCTGTATTCTTAATCCATCAACACACGGATATTAATTTCCATCAAGCGATAATCTTCTTAATGATGTTCTAGCATCGATTTTTAAACAATTTTAAAAAGAGGCATTTTCTCTATCTTATCTTATTATCTTTGAACTATAGAGCACATCATGGCATTTAGCGAGACCCTTCACACACCCACGACTAACCCTCGGTTTGTAAAACACAACGATGGCAACAGCCCAGGATATTCCCATAAAGTTCCTTTTAGCTAATGAAAATGAATCATGAACTTTAGTAGACCTGCATGACCCTGTATTATTGCCGTCCTGTAAAATTCTTTCTAAAAACATAAAATTAAAAGACTTTTTTGTATAAGATCTTGTGACTTATGTGTAAACCTCACAATACACGGCAGTTCTGATTTTATATGTATGAGAGTGCCACGGATATAGCATAATCTTAAACACCATACGCCATATATTTGACGTACGAAGGCAAAATCACTACGTCACACTGTGATATCTTGACCCAATAAAACTAAATTGGGCAGTCCAAATATTGTATTAACACGCAACCATCACAAAATAATTAGAAGTACTAGGAACAAATAAATATAAGTTGACACCAAACAGTTGACCACAAAGTGTCCAATTGACTCTTTTAACATTTGACATATGCAAACAGTCGCAAGCAAATTAGATGAATGGCAGAATTGAAAATGATGACCACTGGTCACATATCAAGGACACATTCGAACGTTACCAATTGATCTGATTAATGATATTGTCTGTTTTTGTTTGGCTACTTGAGGAAGTGGAATCAAAACAAGTTAGAACTTTCGAGATATAATTTGTATGCTTTTGCTTGCGGCTTTTTGCGTTAATAAAGATTTTGTAAATCAATGAAATTTTAAAAGCCTGAAAGCAGCAATTTATCTGAATGAAAGATATATTGCAAACGGGAAGTGTGTAAATTTATAATGATCACTTAATTAATTAAGGTGTGAAAGCATTATAAATAAACCAACTCACATTTCCATCCATAACATTCTGAAGAAATTTTGCAAGTAACATAGATTTAGAATATATTTTTAGAAAGATGTCTTGCCTTGTTGACTTAAGGTTCATAATTGAATGAGTGACTGTAATCGAAATAATTGGTCTCAAATAATTTAATTTAAGCGTAGACTTGACAATTGTAAATAATTAACATTAGATAAAATTACTTACCTTGACGGACTGATTGATTATTCAGCGCAGAGCCTAAACCGCTGTAACTACAAACTTGAAATTTTGGCAGCATTAAGAATTGATTTTCGAAATTTCGCTCCTAAAGGGGTAAAGTTAGTAATGAACGGTCGTATGTCCGTGTGGTGACGGATTAAGAATACGGAGTGTCGCCACCCCTATTCATCCCATGGGTGCCGTAAGAGCCGACAAAGGGAGAAAACTACGAAGAGAAGGAAAACCTGACAAAAACCTGTCTGGCCAGCGTGGTATAGTAAACCAGAATGTCTTTTCTAAAGAGAGGCCTATGTCTAGCAATGGACTATTAAAGGCTGTTGATGATGTGATGATGGTTGTATGGTAGTTCGTCATTTTCTAAGTTAGAATCACGAAATAAGAAATCATCACTCGAGCGAAGCCGCAGGCAATAGCTAGTCACAAAATAAAAAAAAGACGATTTGCAATTTTTTGCAATAATTTACGATGGCACATAATGGAGGCGAAGAAAGATTTGCTTTCCTCTTTTTAGTGTTGTTACAAGTTATGTTACAAGACTGCATGGATGTCGTAGTGGTTTAAGCGGTCGCCACGGCTTTCTACTGCGCTGAGTGTTGTGGGTTCGATCTTCACATGGGACACCACTTTGCGTGATCCACAAATTGTTATTCTGAGTCTAGGTGCTCTGTCCGTTTCATGTATGATTGTAAAGTTCCCCGCGACACAGGATATAAATTCCTAATGCGGGAATTGTCTTTTTTAAATGAAATGAAAATGAGTAATTTGTAAAATATGACCGATACTTTTCAAATCTTCAGATTTGGAGGATTATGCATAAGTTTGGCGTTCGTAAAACTCACTTAAGTAATTTCCTTCTAGTCGCCGACAAAACTGCAGTAAAGGCATTCTGGGTGGCCCTCATCGTGAACCTTACCAGGGAGTTCTGCGGCTGTATAGCAGTTCTGGTCTACGCTAGTCACATCTTCGCAGAGGCAGGCAAAGATCCAAGCACCAGCATAGCATTGACGCCAAACAAGCAATCCATATTGCTGGCTGCTGTACAGATTTTTGGTTCATTTTTGGCGTGTCAGCTTGTCGACCGGGCAGGAAGAAAAGTAAGTGTTTTTTTTATTTAGTTACACAAAAGCGAACATCGTCTATTTTTTTATGAAGTTAGCGGCAAAAGAGCAGTTGGTTCTATTTCTACATAGGTAAGAAAACTTCTAGTAATAACATTCCCTTGTAATATGTATAAATATAATAGGAATTACAGGTTTTTGAATTTGCCTGACGTTTTAACCTGTGAGAGTTCCTACTAGAAACGTTTACCTATACATACTCTTCTAACTAGTATATTGACTGCATAATGAATTGTATTCTATGACACATAACATACTAGCATAAAGCTTGATATTAGGTCTTTACCTATGAAATTGCCGTTTTGTATGCAATAAGTGAAAGCACTTATTTTTTCAAACTTTTTTATTTCTGTTATTCGAAGTAATCACCTTCACCGAATCACATCTTTGCCAACGCATTGGCAGTTTATTGAGTATGGCGGATGAGGGAGAGCTTCCAACCCCAGCTCTTGCAGCTTGGAGACTGTCTGTTGTGCAGTATGGGGTCGCGCGTTGTCGTGAAGGAGCAGTGGGGACGACCGATTGACCTAAGCTGGTTGCAGATGTGACCACCAGGCCTTGCACCTACCGACTATTACTTTTTCTAAAATTTAGACAACTTTTTAGTGGATAAAAAATTCAATTCTCGAGAGGCAGTACAAAATGCCTATGAAGAGTTTTTTACAAGAAGGGCATCAATAAACTGCCAATGCGTTGGCAAAGATGCGTCGATTGCAGGGGTGATTACTTCGAATAACAGAAATAAAAAAGTTTGAAAAAATAAGTACTTTCACTAATTGCATACAAAACGGCAATTTCATAGGTAAACCCCTATTATATTATTCAAACTTGCTGCACTTGAAAAATAATGCTAAATTATGTAACTTGTGTTAATAATAAACTTCATTTTCAATTTACCCAGGGGACTTCTCTTTTAAGACAAGGGTCCTAAAAGAGAGCTAAAACTAGATGTAGTCAGAATTCATCATTTATTTTATTCAAAAACTAATTGAAACTGACCACAAATGAGTAATAGATGACTGAAACAGTTTTTATTATTTCAGCCTCTCCTAGCTGTGACAAGTGTGTTAGCAGGATTCAGCATGTGTTTCCTTGGCATATGGTTCTACCTTCAGAGCATTGAAGTGTTCCTACCTGGTTGGATGCCCATCGTAGCGTTGTGTATCTGCATATTTGCTGACGCTTCAGGCCTACAGCCACTACCGTTCGTTATCATGACTGAGATGTTTAGTTTCCAGGTAAGTTGCTTGCACGTACTAAAATATTTTAGTATGTGGAAAATAAATAAATAGTATTGTCCGGTAATGAAAAGTCAGGTAATTTGACCATACCTTATTCCTACATAGATGTTAGGAAGTTGTATATTTACGAGACTATTACAATTCAGAGCGAGAACAAAATCAGTCACTATGTAGCTTGACTTGTCTTTGCTACATATAATATATATTGCTGTTTACGTGATCACAGGAGAAGATAAATACTAATTCTGTTTTTACAGCTTTTGTTTTAAGTCTAAGTGCAGCTCCTAATACGGGGACATGTTAAAATATCCTGAGTTAACTATTCCCTATGTTCATGATCTCATTTACTTTCTTCAGTAATAAATACGAATGAAAGAAATTTGTAGTTCATACTTTATTCATATCTACGCTGAAAAGTTGGTCCTTACTGTATTACTGAACACGACTAAATAAATGTAGAATCAATTTCTATTTGAGTAATTAGTAAGCAGGTCCACATTTACTAATTGCATTCCATCTCTTTCTCAGCTCCGAGGAACTGTAGCTACCCTCGTCATGGCGATTTCCCTCGGAACCGACTTCGCTCTCCTCAAGCTTTTTGCACCACTTAATTCCTGGATAGGTTATCATTCAACCTTTTGGATATTCAGTTTCATATGCCTCGCTAATGTATTTTACCTCATTTTCTTCGTTCCCGAGACAAAAATGCGAAACCTTGAAGATATCTACGCAGACCTAGAAGGGAGGAGAAGAAAAAAGAAAAATACAGAAATAGTTGAAACTAACCATGTATAAGTCAAATAATGTTTCTACTAGAGGTAATAGCACTGTAAATAATATGACGATATTTATTAAGTTTTCCATGAAAACATTATATTTATAAGTTCGAAATAACAATACAAATATTAGTAGAGTAACGTTAAGGAAAATAAAAGATATGGTAAAATGCAATTCACTAATTATTCTTCCAATTTTTCCAATTAAGCAGACACAAACGTCTACCTCACTTACATAAATAAATATCTGCAGGATCCTTTCGATCAATGTGCGATAATACAGATTAAAAACATATATTTATAATGTAAAAAGAAATTCTCAAATTATTAAAAATAATATTAGACTTTATAACTTGGTAAACAGACTGCTGATAAACATACTAATGTATTTATTTTCGAACATAACTTATAGTCTCATTAGAAAAGAGTTTTATACTCAAGGTTTAGATTCTACTTCTCCTTTCTAAGGAGCGGCTTATGTCCAGCAGTGAACTATTAAAGGTTGTTGATGATGATATAATTACTTAATTACTTATATGAGAAAATATATTCTGGACTCGAATGGCCTGTAAATTGATTCTCAACCTGTGTTTCTGCAGATTTTATGGATTACACCCATAAGTAGTGCTATTGGTAGGTTTGTATTGTGTGCCAAATAACACACATCATCACATCAACAGCTTTTAATAGTGTACTGCTGAACATAGGTCTCTCCTTAGAAAGACAGCTGTCCACGCTGGACAGACTGATTGGTACAGGGTTTGTGTCAAGTTTTCCTTCTCTTTGCAATGCTGTTGTGCTGCGTAGTTGCTCTTACGACACCCACGAGATGAATAGGGGTGGTGACACTCCATATTCTTAATCAGCACCACACGGATGTCAAATAACATCTTCAAACATATTTTACACAAAAGTGACAACTTATTTGCCGCTCTTTGCATAATCATTTATCTTTAGCCTAAGAATCTTCTTACTTCTTATTTCATTTTGCCAATAATAACATTAATTGAGCACATAGTCTATCTAATATACAAAAATTCTCGTGTCATGGTGTTAGAAGTTGAACTCCTCCGAAACGGCTAGACCGATTTTCGTGAAATTTTGTGTGCATATCTGCCAACATCTATTTTTCATACCCATTTTTCTTTTTTGACAATTTTTTTTCAAATAATGTATAGGGCAAAACAACGTTTGCGGGGTCAGCTAGTTTACATATAATATGATTTGCTCAATGTAATGTTTTACATAATTGTTTAAAATGTCAATCATAAATAATCACTGAATAGACAACATTACTCGATTGTGCTCAAGCTTCACAATTTATTCTTTTCACTGAGTCAGCTAATGTTCGACTGCCTCGGTGGTGGAGTGGTAGCGTATGTGACTGCTGTATTGAGGCCTCGGGTCGGACCAAATGTTTGTATGATCTGTAAATATTTGTTTTTGTACTTGTAAATACTGCATGTAAATACTGTATGAATTTCCTAACGGTTTTTACAAAAAAGTATATAAGTATTCTAGCAGTCAATCTAACTTTCGTAGTACAAACTCTGCTTAGCTTAAAACTGCATGGAGTTGTGTGTCCGAAAATGTCAGTTAATACTTTTTATTTAAAACATATATAAGAAGCGGTTAACCCTCAAGTTTCCCCTGGGATAGGGCCTGATTAGGCATGGTATCAATTCAGGGAGACCTGAAATAACATGTTCCGGGTCCTCCCAGAGTAGGACACCTGAGTTTTTAGTGGAATCACCACATACTACTAGCTCCTGAGTCCCCGAGGAGCAGAATATCCGAAAGGACTATCCAAACCGTCAACAAAAATAAATTTCAATTCAAGTTAAATAAATTATGTTTTTCACATGAAGATGGAACTGTTATTTGTGACTTTTTTTTAATTTTCAACTCAGTTTGTTTGAAGTTTTAACAAACTGCCAGGATTATTTTGCGGGCTATAAAGCCATCAGCCATATTGACCATGTGGATTTACTTTATTTTAAAAATGCAGCAGATTACACACTAGTAAAACTTCATTGACTAAATTATATTTGAACAATTTTCAAGTCACAAAACCTCAAAGACTCAACCTCAACAAGACTCAACCTTAACAAAACTCAACCTCAAGTACTAGAGCTGTTGACAGTAATAGTTATCCTGATCAAACGATTCTTTTTTAGGATTGAAGGATTTACATTTGCTCCTCTGCACTAACTATATGGTGCCGCTAAAATAGCCTTTTAATGTTGCTGATAGTGTGAAACGAAAATAAAATTTCCGGACAAGTGCGAGTCGGAATCACCCACCGAGGATTCCCTACAAATTTGTAGATACATATTTTAAATAATACTCGTACCTGTAATTGTAGTATAGGATGGTGTTACTCGCCAAATTTATTAGTTCTAGGTCAACGGGAAGTACGCTATAAATTTTGATTCTTACTTAGAAGACTTTTGATTGATACTTAAAAGTTTATCATGACACCAAGAATATCATGACAAACAACATCAAGATCCTAATGTATGAACCTAGAAAATAAAACGTTCCAATATGTCGACACTTATATGGGTAATGGGTAAGCAGATATCATTAGAAAGTATTCAAAAAGCACCAAATAAAACTTTTAGGGAAAAGGCTAAGGTTGTTGATGCCCTATGTCACTGCATAAAATTGAAGTGGCGCTGGGTTGGCCGCTGCTGACTGACTGACTGATAATAGATGGACGAAGAGATTGACGTCTTGGGTCTGACCAGCAGGCTCTAGGAAGAGGGGCAGACCAGTTGCCCGGTTGACAGATGACATAACACAAGTGGTTGACGATCATTGGATGGACACAGCAACCAACAGAGACACATGGAAATCTTTAGAGGAGGCCTTCACCTTCGTTTAAGAGGGGTTATTACTGCTTAGCGTACATGTAACTGTATAAAATTACATAAAATAGTAGTAGTATATTTAATATTTTTAAGACTAATTGTAACTGTAATTTTTAGTAAGAAATATAAGGCTTTTTATTTGATTTATTTATTTATACTTAGAAGTTTGATTTTTTAACAGCTTCAAGGGACCTGAGTATATGGTTTTAATTTTGAACTCGATACCTCCACGCAATCCCGAGAGACAGGGTCTTGACAAACAGACAGACGGACGGACAACAAAGTAATCTTATAAGGATTCCGTTTCCTTTTGAGGTACGAAACGCTAAAAATAAAAAACTAAAACGCGAAAAACTTCTTTCTATCTTGAATCTACCCTTATATCAACTTTCAAATTTACATTATTAGTATAATATTATAAATTGTGATAGTTTGGATAGATGCAAGTATGTAAGAACTTTATCACGCCAGGACGCCTGAACGGAATTGGATGAAATTTTGTACAGAGATAAGTAACAGTCTGGAACAGCACATATGCTACTTTTTTTATCAAGCGGGCAAAAGCTAGTAGGTAATGAAGTAAAGAAATAGTGAATACATCATGAAAGGAATACAAAAAGTAAAATTAATTATTTTAATTAGGTTCTATATTGTTGATGTTTTTTGTTCGCCTTGTGATTGTTTTACGGCGTTAATAGAGAAGGAATAAATATGAAAGGTGCTTTGGTTATGTTTAATATTCAAGGATTATTTAGAAGCCATCTTATTATTGTAGAAACCATAATATCTTATTACTGTTTCATGATACATTAAAACGTTTCTGTTTTATAGTAATATTTATTACATTTAAAGATATTGCTATTCGTTTTTTGAAGGAACTTACGTTTTGTAAGCCAATATTTACAAAAATACTAGCTGTAAGCTATCACGCTTCGTTGTGCTATATTGTGGTTGGATTGATGAGAAGTGAGGAACAACACCGACACAAAAAATCGTTAAAAACCATCTTCTAAGCGGCGGTATATTGTGCCAAAATTTAAGCTCAATCATGCAGAACTTTTTGAATTTTTGAAACGTACACAAACCAAATTTACGTTTTTATATTATACAGATACAGCTAAGTACTCCTTCTTACAGAAATATAATCTTGTATATTTGCAAAAATATATATTAAGTATTCTTTGTGTTTGTAGATACCTAGATGTAGTACCTGTTCTTTATTGAAAATATAGTAGATGTCCATAACTTAATGTCAATTAAACACAAGTCAACTGTTAGTGATGAAAAAATATTCATTGCGATTCCCGAAATCACTCTTACAGACAAATTTTACTAAATAGACGAGTGAAATATGCCTTGAACAGCCAAGGATTACCCCCAAACTCATATTCAAGACATAATTCGAAATAACAATAAATTTAATTTTTTGACGACCGGATGGCGTAGTGGTTTATGTAACGGTCTGCTATTTCAAAGTGTGATTCCCGATCAAGTCAAACATTTGTGTGCATGAACATTTGATGTTTGATTTGGTCTGGGTGTTTCTATGTATAATATGTATGTATTTACAAAAAAAAAGTATATATAGCTCTGCTTAGTTTGGGACTAGATGGCGTTGTGTGTATGTGGTAGAATATTATTATTACTATTATTATTATTATTTAAGAAATTGTACATAGATTTCAATATATTGTACTTGTTTACTGTGACTTATGGACCTTTGTCTTCTAATAATATGATAATATTATACAGCCGAAGAGTTTGTTTGTTTGGTCCAACGCGCTTATCTCAGGTCCTACTAAGCTACGAGCAATAGGAGAAGACAACAGGAAAAAAAAAATCCTTTTAAGAGGTGCAGACGAAATTTTACGGGTGAGCTAGTTAAAAATAAGGATTAATAACTGTAATTACTTTTTTTTTACATATCAATATTATTTAGATTTTAACTATAAGGCGGTTGACAAGTGTTTTTGACTCTATGTGATAATCATTAAACCATTTCATGGTAACTTTTCTTTTTTAATGTATGATGTATCCTTATTGGTATATTATTAAATTTATGTTTAAAAATCGAAGGCAGTTCTATGGTATTTCAAATTAGCATCTTTCGTCACTTCTATATTTGGTTGATCAGATATTAATTTTTGGACAGCATTCTAAATAATCGAAAAATATACATATTGCAGTAATTATCTTCTTAGATCATCACTGTCTTTAATTAATTTCGATGATGTTCTGTATGTTTTGTGTATTATTATAGATATTGCATTGTAATCATACATGCAACTGTCCCTTACCATGCCGTGGCAACTTGTAAGTAAGACAACACTCAGAAAATATTTGTAAAACATGTTTGTAAATTATGTATTAGTGTATGTTTTGTTAGTTGTCCTATATAAATAAATAAATAAAATAAATAAATAAATTATCAACAGCCTATATTATTTCACTCCTGGACGTAGGCCTCTCCTTAGAAAGGAGGTAAATACGCCGTAATAAATCACTGAAACTATACCCATATAAGTCCCAGTAGATGTAAGTCACAAATAACGGTAATGCTGTGAGCATTATGTAAATTTCAATTAGTCTTTCATGTCCATGTCCCTCATTTACTGAGAGCGTAAAATTTCTACATATAAGATTCACTGACGTCTTCGGAGAAAGTGAAGTTTTTATTTGTACATCAATCAATCTTTGTCGGGCACGTCATCGTCCTGGAGAAATTCTCACTCATATAACTTCTGGCGGTTATCGTCATACCAATGGTTAAGAATATTTACTTAGATATTCAAGTGTCTAGAGTAGTTCATTAGCAATCGTCGTAGCAACAGCAAGCAAAAGACAATCGTGTTGATGGCCGAGGCGCATAAATTGTTTGAGAAGCTCCTTTCTGTCCGCATCGACCGGCTCTTCTGCAAAATCGGCCAAGATCTGTTGGGCGCCCAATTCGGTTTTCGAGCGGAGAGTGTGTTACGCCTCGGGGCCATGACCGAAGAGATAGTGACCCGTGCCAGCATGCTGTTGATAGCATTGGACATCAGCTGACACATTCAATATCTTTTATTTTTTTCAATATTTTTTATTAAGACAGGGGAAAAATACATGAAACGGACACAGAGAACACCTAGACTCAGAACAACAATTTGTGGATTACATAAAGTGTTGTTCCATGTGGAGATGTGGGGAAGGGTCGCGGCGGCGTGGTGATCGCATGCATTCAATCTGCTATTCCGCAGTCAGTCACGCCGATAACACGTTGAGGACACAGCCCGGGGAGAATTTTAGAAACAGCGAGCCTGGCCACTAAGGAAGTCTTTCTGGTCTCTCTGGACAGGATACCTCTGTCTAAGCTACCTCCCAAATATCAGGTTTCTAGTATCCCCCTCCTAGCGCCAGCCCGCTCCTGGTGCGGGCTCCGTCTCAATATATTTTCCTCTCTTTAGGCGACGTCCGGCATACGCGGACGCCGCCCCCTCGCGGCTGGCCAAACTAATGCGGGTGGAGGGGAAACCCACCCCGTCCACCCGCGGCCACACTCAGGGCGGCATGAGGCTGTGATAGGCGGGCCTCCGCCGCCCGGTTCGCCGGCGGCGGATCGGGTCCGAGTGGAGGTCGTCCTCCCGGGCCCTCTCCGCCGCCTCCTTCCGCGAGATTACTACCTCGCAGAAGGTTGCGACCGCGGTAAAACAACTGTCGCTACCGGCCATGGAGCGTCCGGCAGTCCGGTTACCATAGCACAGCCTCTCGGTAAATGAATACCTAAATTAGCGATAATTACAAAAATTCCTGAAAATATTTTATTGTATGTTGTGTTCTGTATTAAAAATAAATTATTAGAATAAAAAAATTGACATTGCAATTAAATATAATTTTATTTATTAAAATTGTTTATTGACATGAGCTAAGTAGTTTATTATTGAATCAATTTGTTGGTATAATATGCATGTTAAGCAATTCTTTTGTTGCCTTTCACTGAGTGAGTGAGGTTACCAGAGCCCAAATCCTCCCGCTGGAGGCTGGATGGAGTCCTTCCCCCTTGCAGGTGTCCATGGGCAGCGGTAGTTGCTTACCATCAGCTGACCTATCTGCTTGTTTGACCCCTTATACCATAAAAAAAGTACTTTTAAAATTTTGCATGTCAGAACCGACAGACAAAATATGTGCTTCTCTTATAATAACTGTAAACAACCTATGTACCATATTTCTGCAATTAAAGTATAATTTCATTTCTGCCTAGTTTGGGCTCAGAGGGCCGTATGTGAAATGTGTAAGGTCATTATTATTATTAAAATATAATAAAAGCTTAAACTCGAGGTGTTCCTCTATCCACAGCCTAGTTTCATCCCCTTATTATACCTACTTCAAACTACATATTTCTATAAAGTTTTGTTTCAAAACCTAATTAGATGTAGGTTAAATCTTGATATTTTACATAGTCACAAGTAAAGTTTATAAAGCTTGTTAAGAATACTATGGTTCTCAAGTTTACGGCTATAACCAAGCGAATCAAATACGTAAAATACTCCCACAAATTTCCGAAGTAACTGTTTACATAATTTACTCATAAATAGTGAAAATTTAAATAACGGGTAACCCTTTAAAAAACGGCCAGGACTATAATGACAATAAAACAACACTAGCTACCTTGTCCCCAAAGAAATTACATTCAATTTCTTCCTAGCTTTTGGTAACTATGCTACATTAAATTTTGATCAACCTTATGACTATTATTTTAAGACTAATGAGACTCACCTTTTACAAGTTTTATATAAAAGCAATGGATATTGATAGATCGATCTCATAGTGCACACACTGCTTTAGTGCGGCAATAACGCGGCCGGACGCGCTCGTGTCACCAATCAATTATAAATTTAAAAAGTTTTTATGTGATTAATTTAAAAATAGAAGTTTTAATTTGTTCTCTTAATTTGTGATATTTCTAAAAAAAGTTCAAAATATTACCTACGTAATAAACACAATATTTGATTGTCAAATTTGGAACGCGAAGTGACAGTTTAAAAAAAAATGGTGTATGGAGTGTACAAAGTTAGTCCCGGTAAAGAAAAAAAGATGGGCAGCAAACATAATCAGATTTTAATGTCCATTATTGGTGAGTTAGTCAAATATTATTATAAAACCTATACTTACTTAATTTTTCCAATTTTTTTTATCGAATACTTACTTAATACTATATTTTGAGCGGTTAAATTAGTATTCATTCGTCGCCGTCGGCAATGAGAGAGAGTTTCGGCTGTCGCATCTATGGTTAAGTAATAGAATGTAAAAGTAGTCTCTAAGTTATGGAAGCTACAAGTATTTTAAACAAATGTAGCTATAAACATATTAAATAACGGGCCCTGACGAATTGGCTGATTTATCAACAACAACAACAAACATGAAATGTTTTGCAGGTGATGCTTTTATTATTTTAAAATTTGATTGTTTGTTTTTTACCGTATTATTTAAATTAAATTATGACCTTAATTTAATTATATTATTATTATTGAAAATTTTACTGTGACTGTAATTTTGTTGTCTAAAAAATGTAAAAATAATAATTTGTATGGATTGAAGAAGAAGAACTAATGATTATTGTTATTATTATTTATGTTTTAAACACCCACTAAAAATGGATTTTCGGAAATTCCACCCCTAAATATATGATGAAAGGTGGAGGCGCTCAAGCCGGTTATCGTCGAGTGGGCAGGGCGGCAGCATGGGACCCTTTCCTTCCGACTGATGCCGGTCCTTTCCGGGCACGGCTGCTTTGGGAAGTACCTAGAGAAGCCGGGAGGATGACGTCCACTCGGACCCAATTCGCCGCCGACGAACCGGGCGGCGGAGGAGCGCTTACAAGAGCCACATGCCGCCCTTTGTGTGGTCGCGGGTGGACGGGACGGGTTTTCCCCTCCACCCGTCATAACGGCCACCCGCGAGGAGGAGGAGGAGGAGGCGATGTCCGCGTGTGCTGGACGTCGCCTAAATAGAGAATGAACCCGAAGGTTGTGCCCGCGCCATTGTAAGCAGACGCTAGGAGGGGTCCGGATGTCGTAGTATCGTCGTCGATCGTGTGGTTTTAGACGGTCTGATTCCAACACCCTACCGCAAACCCGACAAACCCGCAAACACGGTGGGGTGACGGCCCGAGGGGGTTTTGTGGTGTGTTGTGGATTGTCAAAATTTCAGATCAACCTGTGCAGACCAAGATGCAGACCTTTTTGAATTTTTGAAGCACATATAAACCAACTTAACATTTTTATGTCTGTAGATTGTCAAAGACTTTAATTAGTTTTACATACATACTTTTTAGACATGACTTCAATGGTGATCCATTTTTTATCACCCATAAAACACATGACCTTCAAAAATCCATCAATATAAACCACAATCAGAATTATAACTATAATTATCATAAATATCAAAGTGTGTTTGTTTAACTAGTACGCTTCTACATCATAAATACCAAACCAAATATCATTGAAACTTCGCAGAAACGGAGATATAAAAAACCAGCAAAACACAAGGTATCTTTTATCTAGAAAAAAAACTTAAGACAGACAAATAAGCGTGACGTGAGTTAAGCTCAGTTTGAAGACCAGTGGCCATAAAGGCTCTGATCCCAAGGGTCTTGGGCCCGTTTTTAAAAGACGTCTCAAGTATCGGTTGAACTTTGATCATCTGAAATTAGTTACAAGTTCCGATCAAATCTAAACCGTCGATGCTTTTATAGAACGCGTTTCAAGTCAAGGAGGTTATGGACTATGTACCATGACACATCATATTAATTAATATTAATACTTTATCTAATACAGAAAACATCAACATTAAAGATTAGTAAATTTCTCAAACAAAACATATGGCGTTACCTCGCTCTGAGGCGTTCCATTTAAGGCGTGAAGTGCAAGCGAGAGCGTGGAACGAGTTACAAAGAGGCACAATCGGCCTCCGCGTTCGGCAGCGTTCGACATCTGTCTCTCTCTTACTTGAGTGAGTGATGCGTCCGCGTGGACAGCTGCTACTCGTATACAATAATACATTTTTGAAAAATGCAACCATCCATCAGTATTTTCTTATGACGTTGTCACGTTCAACTATCGTCAGTAAAACGACTTTACAGACAACTGATTTTTTTTTAAAGATTTACTAGCAACCGAAAAAACTAGTATTCCCGTTAACCCCTCCAGCCAAGCTAACTTGTTTGTGTTAGGAGTGGGTAAAATGTGCATTGCAAATTTATATCATAAACATATAACGTGTCCATCAGGGTCCAGTAGAGATAGGAAATTCAATCATACATAAAGCTCAATACCTATGTAAATATTTATTATGATATACAATAAGTATAAAAATAACAATGATTGATTCATTTTACACGCGGCCGCCAAATGCCAAACTAGACAACACCGCTGATATATACTTATATATTCCTAAATATGTAAATATAAAAAACAAAAACACATTTTAATGGCGGTCCAAATGATAAAGTAAGAATAAAGATAAAGAGTCCCATCATCCATCATCATCAGATCATCGTTAAATCTGTTACACTCCTCAAAATAACTCATGTTTTTGTTGTTTGACTGGTGTGGACAGCTCCACACATGTGACTCTTGGGACGCAGGGGTCCATGGGTGGTGGTAGTTACTTACCATCAGATGAACCGTCTGCTCGACTGCCCGCCCCCCCTCAGGTCAAGGTCGTTATTTTTAAGGTTATTTATAAGGTATAAGCAATAATAATAATAAATCTCACACATCTCACACAGGGCCGTCTGATCCCAAACTATGCAGAGCCTGTACTATGGTAACCAGACCGCTGATAAACATACTTATATATTTTTAAATACATACATATCTATATATATAAAAGAAAGTCGTGTTAGTTACACTATTTATAACTCAAGAACGGCTTTACCGATATGGCTGAAAATTGGTGAGGAGGTAGCTTAGAGCCAGGAGACGGACATAGGATACTATTTATTCCGTTTATTTATTTATTTTTGTATCGGCCTCGATCACCAGATGACAACGGTGGAACTGTCACAACAAAAGTGAAAAGAATGGATTTCGTTGTCGACAACAGTTGAATTGTTCCATATTCGCCACTTATTTCTAAAACGTTAAAGACACATTGCAACGTTGAGTATTGGTCGGAACACCACCTGCGTTGTTTGTTTTTGCGCCTGATAAGAAAACAGAAAATGTCGTGTATCACAAGGTACTTAAGTGAAGAGCAACCTATGTACTGAAATGCAGAAACAATAATAAATGATTAATGTACGAGTACTTCATTTTTTTTCTAAGAAATAAATTAATTATTTATTTAATTATTTATTGCCTTTAAGGCGGAACAGAGTTCGCCGGGTCAGCTAGTTTAAATATAAAAAACAAAACACACTTTAATGGCGGGCCAAATGATAAAGTAAGAAGAAAGATAAAGAGCCCCACTATCCATCATCATCAGATCATCTTTAAATCTGTTACACTCCTCAAAATAACTCATGTTTTTGTTGTTTGTCTGGTGTGGACAGCTCCGCACATGTGACTCTTGGGACGCAGGTGTCCATGGGTGGCGGTAGTTACTTACCATCAAATGAACCGTCTGCTCGACTGCCCCCTCAGGTCAAGGTCAGGGTCGTTATTTTTAAGGTTATTTATAAGGTATAAGCAATAATAATATATCTCACACATCTCACACAGGGCCGTCTGATCCCAAACTAGGCAGAGCCTGTACTATGGTAACCAGACCGCTGATAAACATACTTATATATTTTTAAATACATACATATTATAGATAAATTACACCCAGACACAGAACAAATTTAATGACCGTGCTCATCACACAATATTTGTCCTGGGTGGGAATCGAACCCACGACCTCCGGCTTAGCAGTCAGGGTCACTAACCACTAGACCAACAGGCCCGTCAATGTCTCTTTCCCAGCAATGCTTTCCTCATTACCTACTAATATACTTTTATTTTTCCCAACTAATTCCTGGAGTATCCAGTTGACGTCAATAATTACGTAACTGGGACTGAAATCATTATCATCTCGGCCAATAAATGTCCACTGCTGGACATACGCCTCCACCAAAGTTCGCCACAACAACCGGTCCTGTGCTACCCGCATCTAACGGCTTTCCCGCGACCTTTACTAGGACTGAAATCATAGAGGGCCAAACTTTAATGTGCTTGTCTACCCCTTCAATCATAAAAGCGTGAGTACCGTACGTATTTGTCTATTGAATGTACCCTATCAATTTCGGTATCTTTTACCTCATGGTGATGCAATGCAATGCGGTCTTAGAAACAAAAATTTCTACAACCTTTTTACATTTCTGACTTCACATCACACACATGACATCAACACCCTCTAAGAGTCTACTCCTGGACATAGGCCTCTACTTACAAAGGAGGTTTTGGCCTACTATACCACGCTGGCCAGACGGGTTGGTATACAATACCTAATAGATAACAACAATATTTGAACGTCACACATTTTTGTATGAAATATTAAAACATGACGTCACACCTATATAGCCATTGTCAAATCATTTACATTTAACTATCTTTTGCCCGCGGCTGCGCCCGTGTCTATGTCGGTTATCGCGGTAAAAAGTACCTTTTTTTTCCGTGCGGAAATCCCCTCGGATACCACCTATCGGTGGCATGTCGGACTCGAACCGATTAAAACCGCACACCGTCTCGGGTACTAATAGCCGGGGAACCAGGTATGCCCTAGAAAGGAAGTCCCTGGTGCCCCGACATACCTCGGGCCATCTACAGACGAGTAGACGACCCCCCTCCCCCCCCCCCGTGTGGGAACCCCATGTTCCCTCTGCTCCCTGGAAGCGAGCGCGTTTCTTAACGCGCTCGCCGCCACCCCGGCCTGCTTCTGCTAGGGTGACCCTATGTTACTCGCTGATAATGTAGCTTTCAAGCTTGCTGATAAACAAGCTCACTTTCACATTAAAATAAAAGTATGGATGTTGATCTCAAAATAATAAAAACTATAAATTGATAGTGGAGGACGATTCAGGTTGAACTTTAAGATGTTATATGTAATGGTTCAGGCGTAATAATTTATTTTAAACCTAGGTATACCCTATTC